AATAGTGTGATGCCTCTTCGGTTACTGTGTATTTTATTTATTACTTCATCTCCTTAACTACCTTGTAATATGTATAAATAGAACCCTTTGGGGTGTCAATCTATATATGAAAAAATACATTTCAGTCTTATATTACTATAAGAGCACTCTTGACAATATTGGGGATAACTCACCCTTAGTGTTTGAGCCTCTCAACCAATGGGATACCTCGTCCATCATACAAACTCGTAGGGATGCCAAGTATTGGGAATAACACACCCTTAGTGTTTGGACTTCCACCATGGTTTTAATTTGTTGATAAATAGGTAGGGTTTTAGATTTGAGTTTAGTAGATAAATCCAAGTATATTTAGAGTGTAACACCCCCAAATTTCTAACAATTTTAAAAATATTCTTATAATAACAAAATTGGCAGAAATCACATTTAATTATTTATTAAGACCACATAATTATTGCAAAAACTAAACTATTTGGAGAAATGTTACCGTCGCACCTGTAACAAGGACAATTGCAAGGCTAAATTTACCATACCATTATACCGAAAAATATTCAATGTAAATATTAAAATTTCAAAATGTAAAACCAGAGTCTAAGGTTTAATTTAAAATATGTCTTATACAATTATTAAATCCCAAGTATAAAATTTATAATGTTTAGGCCTAGCTTGAAATGTCCGGGATGTATCCTCACTACCCATTGCTAGCCCCAACCTTCGAAACCTGCTTCTCTAAGAGTCTGCTCCCTCGAAGGATCAATGCAATATACGTTTAACAAACAATTAGCAAAAGTTGGTAATACCAATCCAAAACACAATAAAGATAGTGATTACTCAATTAATTATCATAATCATCTCAAACATCAATCCAGATATGTATTTCCATTATTAATTTTATTTAGTTTCATTTAGTGGGAAGAAAGCTATGGTAGACCCAGGAATCCTTGTTGCCATCCACGTATAGTCAAATTTGACCATCATCAAAATATCAATACTTAGTGTGTGAACCTCTCCACCAAAGTTGCCAAGTACCATTTTGGGAAGAACGGATAAACATTATTTTTACATCATATAACAACATAGGCATAAAATCAAAAGGTTGTGTTCATCACTTTCGTCACAAGAGTTATCTTCCCACTAGTATCTTATCATGCACAAATTAGGGAACTCCAATTTCGTCACAAATCACATACTTGAGAATTTTCTCAAAGAATGTCATTATTTCCACATCAATTGTCTAACATTTATCAAAGGTAAGATTCATATAACACATAATCAAGTAGTCAACATCTATCAGATGCAAGATTCATACCACACATAATCAATTATCATACATATATTAGAGGTAAGATTCATATCACACATAATCAATTAACACTTCAACCTACTATCATTAAGGAATTAGGATTATACCCAAGAAAATTCATATATAATTAACTTGTTTTCTAGAGATTAAGATTAAACCCAATAAAATTCCCTAACAATATTCATATATAATTAACCTATGATTTTCTGGAAATTAATATTACACCATCCAGATCTATATAAACCTAACCTATGAATTAGGATTACACTACCAAAATTCATATAAAATTAACCTACGTATAAAAACTAACCTACGAAGTACGAATTACCTAAAGATTAGAATTATATATAACAAATTCCGTATAAAACTAACCTATGATACCCTAAGGATTAGGATTACTTGAATTCCGTGTTTGAAGGCTTCCTTAGGAGAAGAGTGATTCACGAGGGAAAACGTAGTTGGCAGCTAAAGGAAAAAGTAGTTGCAACAAAATTTGAAAGAGTTGAGAGAAAGGAAGAAAAAAAGGAAGGAAATGGAGAGATGCAGGGAATTGGAGAGAATATGAAAATTGTTTGATTTGTTAGGTTAAGCTCTTATTTATAACTGACGTTTTGTAACGGAAAAAATACATTAATTGTAGGTTATATTAAAATGGTTAAATAATTATTAATGATAATCATAATTACTTTAATTACCATTAATTCATATCTTAATAGTTGCAAAATTAAATAATAACAAAAATAAATGCTGAGCATTACAAATTAAAATTATCACCAATTAACGTTACAATTTTGTAATCAAATAATGACATACTAGTAATAATTAATGGCAACCAATTTTAACATATAAACACATCAATGTCTATTCCTATAACACCACCTTATGCCAAAGTTAACATGTCTAACATCATATAATGATATACATACATATTAGGGTACACACCATTAATAATAATAATAATAATAATGGGTGCAGGACCCCACAAATCACTTAAAGTTAATTCAACAGGCTCTTCATAGAGAAGGGTTGAACAGGTGGAGGACAAGCAATGAGTTTTTCCTAAGCAACAAACAGAATAGAAATCAACATCAATTTTATTGCTGAATGGTATATTACGATGTTTGAAGACAGTCTCATGAACTTCTAGGTGAGGGTGATCTAACCGACAAAGCCTAGTTGTGTGGGATGTGGGAGTGAACATTACAGAAGAAGTATGCATAGAAACTTTAGAAACTAAAGTAGTAGGTACAGTTTTAGATGTTACACTAAAAGGAAATTCAACTAAAAGAAGAAACACTGTCTCTCGAGGCCATGAGAGGTTATGAAATTTGTAGAGACCATCTGCACCAAGAGAGCCTATTAGGATCCTAGAACGATTTTTGTCTAGATCTATGGGAAAGCAAGGAAAAGAGAGGCAGAGGAATTGTAACTATCCAAGTGGAGGAATTGTAACAATTTGTAAGAAGGGAATTTCATTATTCAAAAGATAGGAAAACAAGTGGAGGAATCCTCTTTCGAAGAGGCAATCCATTATGAATGAGAATGGCATAGTTTTTGGTTACTATCCAAGATGATCATCAGCATTCCTATTTCTCCTATTTAGCTACCTACCTGTAACCACCTATAACAAACTCACTAACCCTTTACAGTTTATTCCTTTTAAAACAACTTGAAAAGAAATTTGAAATATTATTGTTATTGTGTAAAAATAGGTACAAAGGGTTATAATGTTTATAGAGAAACTAATGGCCTAAAGGAATAAACTAATTCCTTAGAAATAACGAAACATAATAATTACATAATTAAGTAAACAAATAGTAACAAACCTTCCATGTTTACAACACTTCCCTTAAGCTGAAGAATGTATATTTATCATTTCCAGCTTGCTAGTAAGTTCTTGAAATTTGTTAGTAGAAAGTCCCCTGGTGAAGATATCAGCTAGTCGGCGACCGAAAGGAGTATATGGAGTAGTGATCAATCCACTATCTAGCTTCTCTTTGATGAAGTGGCGGTTGATCTCAATATGTTTCGTTCGGTCATGTTGAACAAGATTATGTGCTATAGCAATTGCTGACTTATTATCCATAGAGTAACTTCATAGGTTCTTCACATTATATTTTGAGATCATCTAAAACAATTTTCACCCATAGCAAAGCCATGGTTCGAAATTATGCCTTTGCACTCTACCTAACAACCACATTTTGCTTTTACTTCTCTATGTTACTAGGTTTTCACAAAGGAACATTATTACAAGGTTGCTTCATATCAACTTCTTCTGCAAGATCATTGTTTAGAAAACATTCTTGACATCCAGTTGATAAAGAGGCAGATAGACGCTATTTTCATCACTGGGGAGTACCTGTCTCCATAATCTAGTCCAAACAGCTGAGTGTGTCCCTCAGCCACCAACCAAACTTTGAACAGTCCACCTGATCATCAGGACTAACTTTGACAGTGTATATCCATCTACAACCAACAACAAACTTCCCAAAGGATACACATTTCGTCAATCATAGCCTGTCGCCATCCTCCCCTTCAATTTTTTTTTCTAATTTATTTAATTAGTTTCTTTATTCTAAATGTTCCAATAATTATCCTAATTTTCATATCGGTTGTTATAAATTGGCTAGCCACATTAAGTGCAAAAGAAATATATGGTCTCGTTACAATAATATAACTCAACTTCCCGACTAATCTCCGATAACGGCTAGGATTTATAAGAGGCTCCCCCTGTCCAGGTAAAAGCTTGACATTAGGATCCATGATTGAATCAATAGACTTGCACCCTAACATACTAGTCTCCTCCAATATATCAAACTTTCTCCGACAATTGGAGATGCCTTATTCAATTATGCCACCTCAATGAAGATCTTTGGTTTGACATTGACAAAACAAGTACTATTTTAGCCGTTCAATCCTAACTCGATCGTTGCCAATGATGATAACATCATCAACATATCCCCAGAGATAGATGCACTAATTAGATGAATTACGCCAATAAAGAACAAAGTGATTGACTACAAGCTAACCCAAAAGCTTGAGCAGTTGAACTGAAATGACTAGACCAAGCTCGAGGTGACTTGCTTCAAGCCCTATAAGGATTTGTGGAGCTTGCACTCCAACCCAGACTCTCCTTGAGCAACAAAGTCGGGTGATTGCTCCATGTAAACTTTCTCCTACAAATCACCATGTAAGAAAGTATTCTTAATGTCAATATGCGAAAAGGCCAATGATGAATGGCAGCAAGGGCAAGAAACAAGTAAACAAAGGCCATCTTGGCTACAGGAGAGAATGGATCCCCATAATCAAGGCAAAAAGATTGAGTGTATCCCTTGGTCACTAAGCGAGCTTTGAGGCGATCAACAATGCCATTAGGTTCAATCTTAACCGTGAACACCCAATGATAACCCAAATTGATTTTCCCGTTGGAGTAGGAACAAAATCCCATTTGTCGTTTGAGTGTAGAGCAGACATTTTGTCAATCATCACCTGGTGCCAACCTGGATGAGCTAGTGCTTCTTCTCCTATGATTTTAGGAATAAAAATAGAAGAAAGATTAGAAACAAAGGTAAAGTGCTATAAAGATAGTCGATCATAACTCAAAAAGACATAAAGAAAATGAGGGTTACGAGTGGAGCAGATACCTTCACGACGAGCAATGAAAATAGCATTTGGTGGAGGAGCCAAATAGGATGAGACAATGGGAGAAGGTGGCGAGTCACCAGTAGTAAGGTCCAATGTAGGGCTGACACCAATGGGTGGTTGCAGACGACGTTGATATGTACGGAGGGGATGATCCTATAGTCTAGATTCACCTATAGTTGGTAAAGAAGAATCAAGAAAGGGAATAGGGAGAATATAATCAACCTGTTGTGTCACTTGAGTGATGGAACAAGAGAAGGGTTGCTGGTCAAGGAAAGTGACATCAGCAGACACAATGTATCGTTTGAGGTCAGGAAAATAGCATATAATATTTTAGATAGATCTATGTAATATCTATGTAATAGACTGATATCTCGTATAATATTGTTTAGAATAATAATATTCAATGTTTTCGTATTTCTTCATTCAAGTGCAGTAATTAAGGGATTCTTACATTAGCATTAGCTCTAAACTTGTTTGTTTAAGATGGTTAGAAAAATTCTTATAGGTCATTGGAATTTTTATTCCCGATGCATGGTATTTCTATTTCTTTATAGCTATTTAGGTCTATAGTGAAAGTTTGTAAGGTGTGCAAATATAGCTTTCTGATTTCTCATATTGCACTATGATTGTGTGTACCATGTGCTGTTTGCTTAACTAAGGTGTCCATAATTTTGTAGGCCGTGAAGAATGGCGATACTATTTTTATCGGTCAATACTTGTTTACCGGAAGTGAAACAACTTCCGTGTGGCTGGAGGTAATGCACTACTAGTTCAATCTTCAATGCTCGTGCGAATAAGTAATGTCGCCTGTTTTAATAATTACGGAATTATAGGGCTTAGGTAAGGAAAGTTTAAAGAGAGAGAGGACTATTTTAATAATTATAAAATTATAGGGCTTACTAAGAGTAGCCAAATGCTTGCTGCCTATTTGCAGCTAGCTTTTCTAAGGAAGGATTGTAAGATAGAGAATGCAAAGAGTAGAATACTGGTGGTACTCAAAGTCATTTCCGGTCACTCAAGTTGTTTTGATTTCATAATGCAGGTCAGAGAGATCATTGGTGATGATGTCACTTGTGTCATAAAAAATTCTGCTACACTTGCTGGGTCATTGTATACTTTACATGTCTCTCAAATTCGTATTGATCTTCCTACTCTTACCGATAAGGATAAGGAGGTAACTACAAGAAACTTCAGCGCATAAAGTAGTGAGATGAACATTGGTCAAGTTGCTATTCTACTTTCGGTGCTTGAGAATGAATGTTTTATTTTTATCTGTATTCATGGGAAGATTTTGGGGGTGGAATTGAAATTATATTTGTTTGTTGAAATTATAGCTTTATTTCAATGCTTGAAAAACTTAAATGTTTTTTGTTGTAAAAGAGGCATCTCTTTCTGTTACTATGTGAATATGGAAATAATTTGATTTATCTGGCAACCCAAAAGATTTAATGTTTGTACACTTTATATACAGCATAAGTGGTAAATTATTTTATCTGCACCAACCGCGAGTGTCTTCGTTTAAGTTTCACCTTTTACAGTCATGAAACTTGTAATAGTGTTAATCTTTTGTCATTTCACAAACTAACTCAGGTAATAAGCACATGGGGTGTCCAAAACAATATAGACTTCCTTTCTTTATCATACACCAGGCATGCTGAAGATGTTAGCCATGTAAGTGTTATTGCTCATTGGTTTTATCTTATTGCTTATGTATTTTTAGTTTCCCCTTCCCTATATTATGCGTACTACGAAGACTCTCTCTATTATGAAAACATACCAAAACTTTTATTTTTGCAAAAAGTTGCAACTGCTTAACCCAGTGGTGCTTATGATGTTTTGTTATCAATTTCCACTCCTAACCTTGTTTAGACATAAAAGGCTAAATTTTGATTTTCAAATTTTTTTCTAAGCTCTAAAAATGAATGCATTCTTCTCCTTTATCAGCATAAGTAAGGCTAAAATAAGGGTTGCAATGATATTTGACAGTAGATCATCTATAATCTCATACTTGTCAGTAGCAATTAGCGGCCGGTAGTGGCCAACCTTGAAAATTGTATAGTGGTGTAGTGGATAGCGGTATTGCTGCTACGGTGAAGTATTAATTTCACATGTATTATACTAACAGTGTAATACTACACAAATATAAATGCTCAAACATAAGAAGTCACACAAAATCAAACACATAATTTCACAATCAATTCAAATACGAGGAACATAAAGGAAGGATCTAAAATTAAACACAAATGAACAATGAATTCCACAAAATCAAACACATAATTCCACAATCAATGTTAAATAGCGGGTAGCGCCACGTTGCACACACGTACACACCGCTACGCTACGCTACTACGTTCCGCTACCAGCTAGCATCGCTTCGCAGTTGTAGCGGTCGACCGCCACTACCTGTTACTGTAGTGGTTTAGCGGCGCTACGTGCCGCTACTGACAACCTAGTATAATGTAAAGCATGTTTTAACAAATTTCTAGGCATGATGACATTTTGGATTTTGTTATGGTGTTTTTTAATAAATACAAGGGTGCTTTTTTTTTTTTATAGGTTTTTTAGAATACAGGAGAGGCCTGAATAGGAAATGCAAATTAAAGAGAAGAGGAGAATAATCACTTATTTAGACTTACAAGGCTGAATTGAAGGTTAATTTTTATTTCCAAACATTTAATTGAAGCTTCAGCTACACAAAATGAATGCATTTTTCTCTTTTCTCAACACATGTAAGGCTAAAATAAGGGTCGTAATGATATTTGACTGCAGAGAATCTATTATCTAAAGCCTTTTTTAACAAATTTGTAGGCATGATAACAGTTGAAAATTATAGGGTTTAGGCATAATAGGCTTTTGGAAGAGTTGGTTGCTTGACAATAACACTTTGGATTTAGTTGTGGCATTTTTTTCATAAATACAAGGTGTTATATTGTAGGTTTTTAGTATAGAGGTGAGGCCTGTCTAGTAAATGCAAAATAAAGAGAAGGGGAGAGTAATAATATTCCCTTTATTTACATATTCAAGTATTCACTTAACAACAATATTGTAGAACTAAACAAATTTAGAAGTTGTAATAGTTAGCATGAATATCATTAACATGGTAAAAAAGGGAAATAACATCAACATCAATATCAACAAGACCTTTATCCCAAATTAATTGGGGTTGGTGGAATGAATCCAAATGAAAGATACGAAGGGATAAAAATAAAAATAAATAAAAATAAAAATACATAAAAAATAATATATATATATATATATATATATATATATATATATATATATATATATAAAGGGTTTAAAAAAAAAGAGAAAAAAAGATGGGGAAGAGGAAAAGAGATAAAGGCAAAGAAGGGGAAAAGAAGAAGAGTGGGGACATGAAAAGGAAAAGGACTAGAAATGTACCATCTACAATATTGTTGATTAAGTGAATACTTGAACGTGTAAATAAAGGGAATATTATTTCTGAACAAATAGAAACTCTACACAACATTACAATTTATACTAAGCCAATTAATTTCTTTACTAAAATAAAGCTTCATCTATGGTAATTAATAATCTACCCTATAACAGGATTTACAATAATTACAATATGCCTTATGTGACCAAAGCTGCTTCTTTGTGACTGAAAGATTATGGGTTTGAATAAAAAAAAAATTCCTCTTTTCAAATTCCTCTTTTCAAATATGGAAGGGTAAGATTGCCTACAAGGATCACAATCACCTCTACCCTCACTTGTTGGGGTTTAGTGGGGAGTGGTTTACAAATATAACCAATGTAGGACTGTTACAACATGCATCATTTTCTTTATTTTAGTTTTCCTCACAGCATTTAAAAAGAATGCTAGCATTTTTTATTTTGCAGGCCCGCGAGTTTCTCTCTAAATTTGGTAACCTCAAACAGACACTGATTTTTGCGAAGATTGAAAATATAGAGGTGAGAAACTTTGGAATCCTTTGAACATGATAATCTTTGCATTTATAACAGAAAAAAACTTAGTTCAAGACCCATTGGTGTGTGTGCTTCATAGTGATTTTGAATTACGTCTTTCTTTGTGAATTCTCATAACAGGGATTGACACATTTTGATGAGATATTGAGAGAAGCAGATGGTATCATCCTCTCTCGTGGAAATTTGGGGATAGATCTCCCTCCAGAGAAGGTTAGCTTTTACTTCTGTACATACTCCAATGTTATTATAAGATTCTTTTACAAGGGGAAATAGTAGTTACGAAATTTTTTTCCATTTGTTTAATATTTTTTTTTTTTTTCAGTATTATGGTTTTTGAGTCTTCATATGGCTTTTTTATAGCAGTCTCTGTGTACAGCCTGATAATAGAGCTGTTGACGACTGCTTGACAGATCACACATCCTAATTTATAGGAGTTAGTTTTGGAAATGTATTTCCTTTTCTGATCTGATTTGTTTTGTTTTATTTTCAGATTATTAGCTTTCTTATCTTTTGTAATCTTTCTGATACCAAGGACCTTATTTTAGGGGTCTTTTTAGGAAGTTTCTCGAGATTAAGTTCTAAATCTTTACCTGTTAATGAAGGCTAATAAATGATTTTATATCTAACATGCCCTTTACGCTAGTGCCGTTTGGACTTGAAGTATGAGCAAATGTACATACCCACTTTATCTTCTACTAAAATTCAACTTTTAATTGTAGCAATGGGAGTGGCAAGGAATGAACTTCTAACCACTTTGTCTCAAGGGTATTTGTTAGAGATATATAAAAACCACTAATGTAGCCTCACCTAATAGCTTAAGCTTTTGGGTTGAATTAGTTGTTTTGGTGTCATGGGTTTGATCCTCACCGCCCCTATTTAATTAATAATTAATTAAATCTTATGGAGTTTCTTAGCACAGGTAGGTAGGCCTGTGCATTGTCCACTCTTCAAGCCCAGTGGGCTCTCGTGTGAGGGCATGTTAGAAATATATAAAAATTATTAATGTAGCCCTACCCAATAACTTAAGCTTTTGGGTTGAATTGATTCTTTATAGTATTAATGGACCTCCTATTAATAAGGTTATGAGAGGAGGGTAGGAAAAGAGGAGCTGATAGGATACCAAAGATAAATTTTGCCAATGTTGTTTTGTGATTTTGTTGCAAATCTTTACATTGCCAGTCTCAAGCTCCAGTAAAAGAGGTTTGTGTCAGGTAGTCAACAACTAATGTAAAACTTTGTCGAATCTTCACAACATTGACAGATGATATGATTTTGTTTATGCTAAGTTGTTACCCCTAAGTAACACTGTATAGCTTGAGTACAATGTCGAATTTGCAAGTGTTCTATATTGATGCCTGTGTGTTGTGAAGATTAAACAAGGGTTCCTACATTTTTGTGGACAAAAAGATGTGACTGTTGTGTTGGATGAGTAGTTGTTGTAATAGTCCCACATCCAGTAAAACATGATGTTTCCTTTAATCATTGTAATTTTTTTGTAAATTATTCTTTTATTACAAAAGACTATTACTTACCTAGGTCAGACTTTATTTTAAGCACCTAATTATTTAGCTAGGTCTATTCATTATAATGAAACCATATAGAATGATCAATTCATAAATAATATTCAGTCCTTTTTCATTCAAGTTGGTAGTAAGGCTTTCGATATGGGAGACTTTGGCTTCTACAAAATTGACCCTAGCTTGCCTTCCTTGCAACCATCGTAGGAACTTTGGTTTTGGTCTATTTTTTGTGTCTCCATTGCTCCCATCTGCTCTCCATTTACCAAGCCTGCCATATCCGCCACCAGTAATCACCTCCTCTCAGATCGGAGAACTCACCGGACAAACTGCCATCTGGCCAACCAGCAACGTCATAGCTGCCACCTTTTGCTTAGATGCCTTCATGCACTTTTGAGTCTCTTTGTATGTTTGTTTGTGTTCCACCCTTCAAGCAACGCATAGTGGTATGTCCGACTGCCATTCAACTCGCCGCTGATTCGATTCATCTCATCTCGGCCTCCTCTACTTGGATCTACGCTCACCTGGTCCAACTGGTATTAATCGGCTGGTCCTTCTTCCAAACAAGAAGCTCTAACCTTGCTCAACAACACAATCTGAATCAAACCTTCTTCTACCATGTTTGACATAGAGAACACTCATCACTCTACCACCACCTATAGTACATTCCAACATTCCTTAGTTATCGTGCCTCTCACCACAAATGATCTCCTAGTTTTACTCCATACGTATCACCTTACTGGAAAGAACTATTTGCAATGGGCCCCAAGCATTTGTACCACCCTCAAAGGTTGGCAGAAATTAAACCACATTGAAGAGAAAGCTCTTTATAAGAAAGGCCCGAAGTTTAATGCGTGGGATTACGAGGACTCCCTTATCATGACATGGTTGTCGAAATCTATGAACTTAGAGAGGTTAGTCGGAAATGCATGATCCAATCCATTGCTTGTGAAATTTGGGACAATGCTCATTTGACCTACTGCAGGAAACAAGGCATAGCAACTTGCTATGAGTTGAGAACAAATATTTTCTCTTCCAAACACGAGGATCTCTTAGTTACCGATTATTATGGGATTCATGATACGTTGTGTGGGTTGAGCTTGATCAATATCAGAATATGAAGATGGAATGCAGTAAAGATGCCTCCTCTTTGGCTAGCTTTGTTTAAAGAGACCACATCCTTGAGTTCCTCTCCAGATTAATTTCCAAGTTAACCCTAGTAGAGTACAAATCTTGGGGGAGGAGTAGCTCCATCTCTCTATGAGGTTTTTAATATTATTTGCAATGAAGAGAGTTGTCTAGCTGTAATGCGTGAGGACAAGCCCATTGATGGATCAACCTTCTTAGCAAAAGCAATACCACTTATAGAGTTGTTGGTGCACCTATTATAAGAAATTTGATCACACCAAGGAGAACTACTATATACTCTGAGAAGGACCATGTTCTTAGTTGCGCAAGAGTGTCATGGGTATTCAACACAGCCAGGTGAATCTGATCACTTCGGGCCCTACAATTATTGGGGAGGCCTCAAATGTGGGAGATGAAGTTCCAATCCTTAGTAAAGATGAATTGCAGTGCCCGCAAGCTCTTATTAATTCTCTTAATAAACCTTCTAGCTCTTGTTCTCTTGCCATTACCACTACTCATTAAGAGGTTTTAGGATTTTATTGGTAAGCTGAGAATAATAAATATCAATTCACTAACTTTGGCGAGAGTGTTGTAACAGTCCTACATATACCAGAACCTGATATTCCTTGTAATTGTCATAATTATTGTAAATTATTCTTTTATCAGGAAAGATTATTAGTTACCATAAATTAGGCTTTATTTTTGCCTAGTTATTATTAAGCTAGGTCTACATGTTATAATGAAACTATGTATAATGATCAATTCAGAAATAATATTCATTCCATTTTCATTCAAGTGTAGTCATGCAAGAAAATATATGATCAAGAATGGATGTATTAGAGATCATGTAGAAGTGTCACCTCTTAAAGGAAAGATGGTAGAATCTTGCCTAAGATGGTTTGTTTATGTGAGAAGACCAATAAATCATTCCATTTTCATGTAGCGAAGACATTCGCGAGCTGATCCTTGGAGTTGACAAATGCCGTTTTGATTGCTCCTGATTGAATCTTTTCTTGAATGAAGTGACAATCGATCTCTATGTGCTTGGTTCTCTCATGCAATACAGGATTAAATCATATATGTAGCACAACTTGATTGTCACAAATGAGTGTTATGGGCTCTTTCTGTTCACAAAGATGGAGCTCCCGAATCAACTGCTTTAACCAGATTAGTTCGCAGTTCGCAAGTGGCAGCTCCCATTGCACGATACTCGACCTCTGCACTGGATCAAGCGACAACAGTTTGTTTCTTACTCTTCCAAAGAAATTAGGTTTCCTCCAAAGACTATACAATAACCTGGAATAGAGAGTCTATTCGAGGGTGATCCTGCTTAATCGGCATCTGAATAATCACAAATTTATGTATGTCCCTAATTTGAATATATAAGCATTTCCCTGGTGCTCTTTTGATGTACCAGAGGATCCTCACAGCAACAACCCAATGAGAATCACAAGGGAAGTCAAGGAACTGACTAGCCACACTAACAACAGCAAAAGATATGTCAGGCCTAGTCATAATGAGATAATTGAGCTTCCCAATCAACCTCTGATAACGTTCAGGATCAGATAATGGCTCCCCCTGTCTGGGCAATAATTTGATATTAGGATCCATGAGTGTATCAATTGCTTAAACCCCAATATATCAGTCTCCTCTAAGATATTTAAGGCATATTTCCTTTGATAGATGGAAATGCCCTGTTTAGACTGTTCCACCTCAATCCCTAAGGGGGCGTTTGGTACGCGGTACTCTCCAGGATTCCTGGGAAACTGAATTTTTCTAAATTTTTAATTTTCGGATATTATCGTAAACTGAATGTAAAAATCATATTTCTGAAAATCGAGATTCTCGGATAAAAAAATATTTCTCTTCTACCAAATGCCCCCTAAGAAGTAACAAAGCTTAACAAGATCCTTTGTTTGAAATTGACTGAACAAACATTGTTTTAACTGGTCAATCCTAGCTTGATCACTTCCAGTGAGAATGATGTCATCGACATAGACTAACAGATAGATGCACTTATCAGGAGATGTGCACCTATAAATCACAGAATGATCAGCCTCATTACGACTAAGCCAAAAGCCTGAATGGCAGAACTGAAATGGTTGAACCACGCCCGAGGAGACTGCTTGAAGCCATATAAGGACTTACGAAGTCTACACGCCATCCCAGACTCCCCCTGAGCAACAAAGCCAGGCGGTTTCTCCATGTAAATCTCTTCCTTTAAATCACCATAAAAAAAGCATGTTTAATGTCTAGTTGAAGGAGTAGCCAGTGACAGAGCAGCGAGGGCAACAAACATACGGACAGATGCCATCTTAGCGACAGGAGAGAACATGTCACTATAGTCAAGGCCAAAAATCTGAGTAAAGCACTTAGCGACTAAGCGCGCAAGACGGTCAACATGGCCATCAGGTCCCACTTGACAGTAAAGATCCACCGACAACCAACAGTAGACTTCCCTGGAGGAGCAGAAACAAGATCCCAAGTGCCATTGGAATGAAGAGCGGTCATCTCATCAAGCATCGCTTGGCGCCACCTTGGATGAGAAAGTGCTTTACCTGTGGT